ATTGGGCTAGTATTCCAAAGGTCGTAGGTTCGAATCCCACCGTGGCCGGGCATATTTTTCAAGCTCGCCCGGTGTGGATATACACTCAGAGTAACACCACAAATATCATATTATGACTAAAACTATTGTAAGGAATTAGTTAATTTCTGGTTTGTTTTTAAAAAGGTTGTTGTATTATGGCTAGTTTATACGCTATCTGGCTTCGTACGACAAAGAATGAAGAACACAAATTTTATGGTTCAATGGTTGATAAATCAACCAAGATGGCCTCGATTGCAAACAAACAATTAATTTACTTATTTTGAACAAATTAGCTATATACTATATAACAATTGCCAATCCTATAGGCTAACCACATGTACGCAATGCGTACCTATTTTTAGACATTGCACTTCAATCAATTTGATATGGCTGCCTCAATCGTAATGTTTCTATACAGTAGCATGTTACACTTAACCATGTTGTGTTGCATGTAATCTCCAACCATGCAGAGGATGTATACGATGCAATAGACCTTTCCAAGGTTTCTACCGCCATATTGCAGGGGGTGCAAAAACATTGGGGCGAGCGCGCGGCCACCAGTGGCGCCCATACTATTTCCTATTGAGTGAGTGAAAATTACCTTTTGACATTTTGTCCTTTTTCTCAAAAAATTTCTATACAAGCATATCCAATTTTTATTTTTAGATAATCGCTGGGTTTTTTTTTATATGTGGCCGAGATTTCTTGCTAATCGAAGGTGACAGGAAGTAATAAAAAACGGCGGCTTTTGTTGCACAACTTGACCGACGTTTGAGCGATGATTCTTGTTATTTCGTTTGTTTAACCGATCTTTGGAAGAATATTTGTCCATTAAGTGTGTAAGTCCTTTGGTGTCCGCCATTATTACTGTTTATATTTGTATATTTGTACAAAAATCATCGCTCAAACTCGGTCAAGTTGTACAATAAAAGCCGCCGTTTTTTATTACTTCCTGTCTTTTTTTTTTTATTAGCTTCGCCAACTAGGGCAGGGTCACCACAACAGCATATGCCAATTACTGTGGGCCCTTTTTACCTAACCCACCCTGTCAACTTTTCCCTGTGGGAGGAAACCGGAGTACCCGGGGAAAACCCACGGCGTTCGGCAGAGCGTTGACTTTTACTCTTTTCACTTGGGGACTGGGTTCGAGTCGCACTGAGAAGGTACTTAGTGAGACTCGAACCTGCAGCCTCAGAGGTGAAAGGCAAGTGCGCTAACCACTTGGCCACCGATCCTTCGATTAGCAAGAAATCTCGGCCACATATCAGAAAAAACCCACCGATTATCTAAAAATAAAAATTGGATATGCTT